GAAGTTTATTGAGGAACTTACGCCTCAAAAACTTCGACAATTTTGTCGAAGACATACTTATGTCTATCACTGGTTCCACATACATTAGGGGCTGGAAGTTTCCCCAAAATGTCAGTGGTAGAAACAATAAATATATCATCTTCTTTTTTCAGGAATGATTTTTTTTCCTCATCACAGGATTTAAATCCCATCACTTCGATCTCCCCGTCAGCCAGTGTTTTTAACACTGTAGCGACATAGCGGAAGGTGGTACTGTTCACAATAGCCCCCATTCACTGTTCACATTAGCCCCCCAACTTTGAAAGCTTATAACTTTGGCTGTTATTAATATATTTTAACTTTGGGAAAAGAAAAATAATCCCCAATTCTTATTTAACAAAATTCAGGCTTAAGATCATTCCTACAACCAATGTAAAAATTGTTATAACAAAAGTTTTCACTTTGCGCGGAAAAGTTTTTTGGGCGGAAAAAAAGTGTTTTAACAAAGTATTTTTTTAAAGTACCTAAAAGTCAAATTTGAAGTTTTCTCATTATGGACACAAAAAATACAATAAATTTCCTTTCTAATTATATTTTTTTCATGATTAAAAATCCCAGATAAATGACTTTTTAAGTCATTGTTCATATTAGCCCCAATATTTTGGTGTGTTCATATTAGCCCCGGTTGACCCTATAGTGAAACTTTCCTCAAAGTCAGTGGTGTTAGGTTGTCTGTCACCGCAACAACAATCCACAGTCCGGGGGATTAACAAGTTTAGTGGTTAATCAAGCAGCCCTGGGATTGGCTGAGCACTGATCACTGTGACAGAGACATTCGTGTATGTGACGTCACAGGACAATCAGTACACAGCCCCCCCCTTCTCCACCCCCTCAGTGAGCTAACAATGCTGACATTTTGTCCTCTTGTAAACACTACCACATCACACCAGAATGTGTGGCTAAGCTAATTGGTTTGAAGTGAATACATCAGAAATTGTAGAATTAGTTGACTTATTACATTGTAGGAAATAGTTGGCCGCTAAGTTGAAAAGATAGATGAATGGGTGTTAGCGTCAAGAATGATACTTAAAATTCGGTAAATAAAATCACCATCGTTATTAGAAGTTTTTCAATTTGTAAATATGTAAATTTAGATAACCATTGTTTTATATTGTGTTTCGTTGTTGATTTTGAAAATTCTTTCTTTTTTTGCCTCATTGGAAGATCAAAATTGTATTAATTGATGGGATATTTTTTGTTGTTTTAAGTTGTTTGGAATATTAATGTTTAAATTGTCTCTAATGTAACCTTTTTCATTGTTATTAACAAAGGGAAAACTAAGAATTAATTTCAGTTTGCATGCAATCGCACCAGAGAGATGAAACTAGGGATGTTACTGCACATTAAAAATAGTTACTGCTGGTTAAAAGTATTATGTTTGGTGATGCTCTTTATAGCTCTCGAATCTTTTAAATAATTTGAATATTTATCAAGACTAAATGCATTAAAAAATATATAGGCATATCTCTCTTTTGATAGCATGATAGGTGGTTCTTTAACTTGTCTACTGCTCATAAAAATTACAGAATTAATACTTGTATGATTAAAAGTGTTACATTAATTCAAAAAGCAGAAAATCATTAAAAAAATAGTCTTTGCATTTAATATATTTCAAGATGAAATTTTGTGGATTTTTGTTTCAAAACAAGAATGAAATTATTCAAATCTTTCCCTACACAACACAGACTTGTGACTGTGGCGCTGTGAAATACAAATTAACAAAATGGTAAAACAAACAGGGAAACTGCACACCAAAAGTAGGAATCACTGTTAACACAGATGATAATTCCAACAATGATATCAGTCCCTGGCACAGTGCTGATGTGTGAGGGAGCTTGCCAACATTGCATAGACAAGTGACCTCCCTTTGAATTGCACATAAAATCAAATATGACTGGGTTTTGAATTGAGTAATCAATGATAGTTTTTTCAATCCATGTATGCTAAGTTAATGATTTTTCATCCACTTATTTACGTTATTTTGATATATTTTTAAAATTTAATCTAACAAATAAGTAGAAAAAAACCAATTGTGTAAGAGCAAGGTAAAACTAAATTTACCTTCTAGCAGTGCAAATTATCTCAATACCTACCAATTTATTGTATACCTGTAGTTGTATACCCAAAACGATTATACTATGGTACGTTATTATGTCAAACAAAAATAGCTGTTGTAATATCAATTGACCTACTGCAATTTGCAAACAAGAAATGAGGGATCAGGAGGATAGATTAAATTGAATGGTCTAAATTACATAAATTAAATAAAACATGCTGCACAACACACCCTTTCAAAAGTTAATACTCTCTAAGAACTAACATTTAACATTAAACTTCAAGATGAAGATTTTGTTATTCCGCTGAGTTGCGTCATGGTTTTTATAACCACCCTGAGTCGTACTCTTACACTTTAGTACTATTATGATGATCATCATATAGATTTATGTTGTAGGTAAATTTCAAACATGGTTGGACAATGTCAGTCTCGCTTGAGCCACCTCCTTTATTCAAATTGTTTTTTTGTCACTTGTTCTTACTTGTGTACAATAGATAGATTTGATTTAATGTGCAATTTTCAAATAAATAATGTAATTTATTAGTAAGCTTAAGTTTTAAAGTGCCGGTAGCTAATGAAATTCAGTATCTGGGAGCAGAGTTCCCATCAAGCCATAAAATAAGTTAAAATTTACTGCAATTATGAGTGTGCTTCTAAGGGTGTTCATTTGAAAACTTTCCATATCTGTTGTGTGCAAAGGTAAGGCTTTTAACACTTGTTTGTTATATTTTCCCCCTAATTTGGACGTGCCAAATCCAATAAAATTATTTTCAATTTTGAAAAATGCCCCAAAAGGGCCCAATTAGGGGGGTAGGGGTGCTTTTTGAGAAATTTTCAAATGTAAACATGGGTTGTGTGATACATCAATTTAAAGGTCTAATCATCCCGATCATTTTGGTGCAAAAAAAGTTTAATTATCTTTAACCGTATTTACAGGGTGGGTCAAAACGTTTTAAAAAAGGACTTTGAAGTTAAGTACCGTATTACCCTAACTACTGAACGGAACAGCGCCAAATTTCTTTCCAAGCTTATTCTTGAGCTATTCTTTAAGATAACTTGTAGTAAGGGCATTTACCAAGTTATTTTCTAATTTTTAAAAAATCTCAAATTTTAAGAATAAAAGAAAGCTGAAAACTCAAAATTCTTAAATAGCAAGGTATAACAAATTTCATACCACGTGAAAGGTCCTTTTTTAACAAACATTTTACGTATTTAAGTTTTCTTTCTATCTCTTACCGTTTAAAAATTGCAGTAGAAAAACCTAATTTTCTATGGAAAAATTGTAACTAGTTTTCTAATAAAACAGCCAAAATTCGTCTCTAGACACATTAAATAATGCAATAACTGAAGGAAACAATTCATAATTATTTTTAGGCAGATAGGCAAACAAGTCATTACGTTTTACTTTGTGAAAAACAAGTTTTATAGCTGATGAGCCCAAGCGTGGGCCGCTTTCTGTAGTACCATTGACTATACTAATTTCAAAAGTACCATTTCCTGTAGTACCTAATCAAATATGGTGTAAACTTAAGAAAATAGACTTTATTTTACTTATTGGTCATAACAAAAGTGTTCCAGGATAACTGCAAAGTGTTTAACAATAGATATCCAGGTATAACCTTGAGTCATATGGCTGTAAATGATTTAGTTAGGAAGTTTTCTGAAACTGGCTCAGTTACCAATGAGAAAAGAACAGGATGATGGGTCCCTGATGAGTTCTGACACACGTAAAAGTAGTCGATCAATTTGTTATGAATCCTACTACATCGTTGAACAAAGTGCAATGTGTTTTATTAGAAAACTAGTTATAATTTTACCATGGAAAATTATGTTTTTCCACTGCAATTTTTAAACGGTAAGAGATAGAAAGAAAACTTAAATACGTAAAATGTTTGTTAAAAAAGGACCTTTCACGAGGTATGAAATTTGTTATACCTTGCTATTTAAGAATTTTGAGTTTTCAGCTTTCTTTTATTCTTAAAATTTGAGATTTTTTAAAAATTAGAAAATAACTTGGAAAATGCCCTTACTACAAGTTATCTTAAAGAATAGCTCAAGAATAAGCTTGGAAAGAAATTTGGCGCTGTTCCGTTCAGTAGTTAGGGTAATACGGTACTTAACTTCAAAGTCCTTTTTTAAAACGTTTTGACCCACCCTGTAAATACGGTTAAAGATAATTAAACTTTTTTTGCACCAAAATGATCGGGATGATTAGACCTTTAAATTGATGTATCACACAACCCATGTTTATATTTGAAAATTTCTCAAAAAGCACCCCTACCCCCCTAATTGGGCCCTTTTGGGGCATTTTTCAAAATTAAAAATAATATTATTGGATTTGGCACGTCCAAATTAGGGGGAAAATATAACAAACAAGTGTTAAAAGCCTTACCTTTGCACACAACAGATATGGAAAGTTTTCAAATGAACACCCTGTATACTAATGTAGGGGCTTAACAGTTGTTTGAAATCAGTGAAAAATTATCAGTGTTGAAATATTGTTGACGTGCAGGAACTCTAATTTTGATTGCATTAAACCATTAATCTGAAAATATGTTAAAGTTATAAAATAAATTACATTAAATTACAGTACTACTACATATTAATAGTGTGGCAACTAGAATGAGCATAATAAAGTGCATTTGTATCACCGATGCATATTTGATTGAATCAACTGATCTCGTTGGCATACAGGTAAAATTGATTAAAATAAACTTTGACCTTCTCATTTGCCCCTCCCAACCCCTACTCTTCTCTTTTACTCCAGCTGAATCCCAGTTAGTTGTTGAATCCTGTAACTAAATAGATATCTAAACAGTTTGATCACAGGACCTTTAAATCGAGTCAAAGTATACTTCAATCCTAATATTGGCTATATTCAAGCCAAAATCCATCAAAGGGAAAATACCAGTGTTAACAATTGTTTAATGATACAATAATGTGCTACTGTATTGATAACATAAACTATGTTTTATAAATCAATTATTGGATTTTCTCTTCTTTTTAACTTCCACTTTTAGTTTTTTTCCTAGGACTTGGTATCCGTTCATATGGTTAATTGCTGTTTTCGCACTTTGCACATTATCGTAGGACACAAAACCAAAACATTTGGATGTTTTAGTCACTTTGTCTACAAATACTTTAGCAGATATGACTGGACCGTATGGATAAAACAGTTCAACTAAGTTTTGGTCAGTAAATTCCGGAGGTAGATGGTAAATAAACAAGTTAGCCCCTTCAGGACCATCTATTTGCTTCTGATCTGCGGATAATCTTTGCAGACACCAGTTGTACATTTTATATTCTGTCGAAGAAGTTGTTAATGCCATATTTTCAGTATTAGACTGTGGTGGATGTTGAATATTACATGTATCACAGGAGTCAAGTGGTATTAACAAGTTGTTAGTATTGTCAGTTATGATCACAGGTGTGTCATTTGTATCATTTGCTGTCTGGTTAAGAAAACAGTGACCAAGCAAGGTCTGTAGATTTGTTGTATTAACAACTGCTGATCTCCAATGTGAAGGTGGTATATTTGACAAATCTTGGCAGTTCGACGTTGGAAATTGACAGTTAGCATTATTATACCACCTATTTTGAAATTTCTGCAGGAAACTCCAATTGTCGGAGCTTAACAATGAGTGTACACCATCACCACCAAGCTGCTGAAGGATAGCTGAAAGAGTGTTTTGAAAGGACAAATCATTTTGTAATATGCACATCCTTCTTTGCTCTTTGTCTTTCTGCGTATCTGCAAACTTGACCACTAAAGGAGACGAACAGCCTCTGAAGATGTGGCAGTGATGCATTGATTTGACAGCATTGTGTGCACTTCGCCGGGTTAGGTAAGTGACGAATGCACAACCTTTGCTCTTCCCAGCACTGTCTCGTAAGACAGTGCACTCCTCTATTGGTCCATATGGAGAGAACAAACTCCGCACATCACTTTCATCAAGCTCCTTTGATAACATTCCGATAAACAATTTTCTATCGTTACGGTTTTGGCTGTCAGCTGGTTTCATCTGTATCGGATGATGCATTCCAGGTAAAACCTGAATATTATGTAAGGCGTTTTGAGCCTCCAGTGCAGATCTTCTAGAGAAGAACGTCACAAAACAACATCCTTTACTTCTACCTGTGATCTTGTTCTTTAATATCCGAAGCTCGTATACTTTTCCAAACCTCGCAAACAGCTCAAGAAGATCGTTTTCTGTATAGTTCTGTGGAATTTGTCCTACAAACATTTTAATTGTATCTGGATCAGGTTCGGAATCGATTGGTGGAACTTCTTGTCCAACAATTGGACAAAAGATTTCATCCATTTTGGAAACCCCTGCTTCATAGTTGATGATTTTTTGTTCTTCGTCCAAACTTGTATCTGAAATTTCTGGGATCAAAGAGTAACTTGAACAGCTAAAAGTTAGTTCAGAGCTTTCGAGAAGATCATCCATTTTTATATGACAGTTAATACAGTATTTGATTGAATGAAAAACATACAAAATTGTTTTTGGAGTAGTTTATAAGGAGGTTTTCAAATTTAATTTTTGCTAGTATAGTGTTAAGATTTCTATAGGTGTGATAGAATGATTGGTGTCCAAATTAATTCTTGGAGTACAAATACAATGGCTAAGTGTTCAACGATGAAATTTTGAAGTGTGCTGTAAAAGTTAATGAATCTTGAGGGTTATGGACAAGACAAACACAAATATAAATAAAACAGTAAATTTACTCACATTTTGTATACATCAAAAAAGTAATCACCATATGACTTCTAAAACATTTTACAGTTGTTTTAAATTGTCATAATACATGATACCAGAAGTTATTTACCAATTTATAATATAGCAATAATTGAGTACAAGATTCTGTATAGGCTATACATATATATCATACTATATATGATTTGTTAATTTATTAAGTACACCATATATACACAGGGTGTTGAAAAAGTCTTAACACACCCAAAAATAAATTAAACAGTGTAAGATAAAATTTGGCAACTTCAACATATCAACATATATGACTTTTCTAGCTTTTTGCAAGAAATCAAAAGTTTGCCCCCTCCCCCTTTGGGTTCATAGGGGGTAACTAAAAGTTTTCAAGTATAAAGACCCATGTTGGCAAAGAGAATACCCTGGAAAAACTGTGACGTACAGGTCCAATTTTTCTTTGTCTCACATGATGTGACAACTCCAGGCAGGGTCTTTCCGAACATGGGCAGCAGAATAAAGTGATTTTTACATTATCGGGAAGTGCCTGGTCTTACCCAGGCTGAACAAGTATAACCGGAAATAGTTGTAGCATGACAGAATCTGGGTGAGGTCATAATCTACCTCTCTGTACCACCATTGACTATTTGGGTACTGAAGTTATTGAAGCTGTATAAATAAATAGTCTAATGTACCACCCATTTACTCAAAGTTGAACTTGATGAATTAGTTGCCTGGTCCAGCGTCCACGTGTCTCCTATTCTCAGATCTCCTGCCAGAGCCGGTTGATAACGGTGCACTACTATGTTTTTACCTGGTTTTCCCAACGTCGCTGATACTTAATACTTTAATGCTTTAATACTTTTCGATGAAATGGCGACCATACAAAGTAGGTATTTTAAGCCAAGTATGAATGGAGATGAGTGTAGGATGAGTGGCGCGATCTTCTTGTCAGTGACTAAGGCCGACATATTCCTTAGACACAGATAGATTGTCTTCCTCTCTACCTCCAAAAGTTTGACAGGGATGACTCCAGCGACCACCAGGATAGCAGAGTTTGGACACTGTTTGGCAGATGGATGCCACACTGAGTGCTGCACTCAGGTGTACCACATCCTGTATACCTCCTTATTGAGCGTGACTGCCCACACTTCTTGCAGGACATCAACATCCTTCTACTACTGGACCTCTGACATTGGCCTTTAACTGACTAAGGGAAAACAACCCTTAGTGTCCTTGTCCGGTGTATGCAAATTGATCCTGGAACCCTGGAAGCTGAGCTTACTGAGCTCAATCATGACCCCAAGGTACTTGGCATTATAAACGGTTCTGATTTTGACGTCCCACACCTGCATGGAACAATGGTGTCAATCTATTCTAGGTCAGAATCATGATCTCAGTTTTGCTCAGAGGAGGTGAGAGATTAATAACTTGGTTCAGTTCAGTTTCAGCTGGGCTGGGATTTCATTAGCATTACTCAAGGAAAACTTTTAATACTTTTTCTTTGAAATAATGACCATACAAAGGTAGTATTTTAAGCCAAGTATGAATGGAGATGAGTGTAGGATGAATGGCACAATCTTGTAGTCTTGTTAGTGACTAAGGCCGACATATTCCTTAGACAAAGCTGTTAACTAATAGCCCGTGCTAATGGATACTAAGGGACCTCCAGTTTATAGTGGAATCCGAACCACATTTTCGCCTTGATATTAACGAATTGGCCTAATTATCAAGATATAGCACTGCGCATAGTTGTAGTACTCACTAAGTGCGGATGTTAATCCACACCAGGGAGTATCGCATGCACAGTGCATTCCTAAAAATATCCACATGCCTATAAAAACAGTTGTTTCGGACATCCTAGACTTCAAGAGGCTGTCCTAGGCGACGATTCATAGTTCTGGACTGAGTATGGATCCTTGAGCATTTCCAGGGGTGACATTCATCATCTGCCGACCTTCCGCAGAGTCTTAAATGAGGAGGCGAAACCTGAGGTAATCTTCTATGATGCTCATGAGGTATACTGAAAGGTTGTAGGTGTTCTCCAGAGCATCCATACAATATCATACCACTCACAAAATTGATTGCCTCATAAAATTGAATATCATAGAACCAATTTGTGTAGTTAAAACAGCTGGCAAAATTTTTTAATTCATTTTAAATGTGACTACTGATAAGGTTAACACGGAAATCTCCAGAGCAACTGGGGCAAAGGATCTTTGAGATAAGAGTACGTCTATATGTTAATCGGGAACGTAAGCTATCATCATACAAAATTTTGGTTCAATCTGACAAGTAGTTAATGCGTGATAAAACTTCAAACAAACAAACATACAAACTTTCACATAAAGTAAAGTAAGATTTAAATATCATTAATTATAAACAGTACTTAGGTTTGCTGCTGCAGGGAAGAATAAGGTGTGTTTTTTATTGAAATATATTAAAAGCTTAAGTATGAAGTAAACAAAAATTCCAAATTTCATAAAAATATGTCCATAGACAAGCAAGCTATAACAGTTTATTTATTCTCCATAAGAATAATATGGTATTTTAAAATTTACACTTTTTTGGGATTTTCTCCGTTTATGGCATACAAAAACGCTTCAATGTACTAAAGTATTTGTTTTAATGAGCTCTACAAAATAATTTGGAAAGAAATAGAAATATTTTTATTTTTTATGGTGAAAAATGGGAAATCAGCATTTTTACCCCATAAGACCCCCATTCCCATAGTGCAATTCTGCTGGTTTGCAAACTCGTTCGAATAAATGTAGGTTTATACCAAATTTCATCAAAATCGGATAATTTTTGCTAAAGTTATCGTGCTAACGGACATATATATATATATATACTGTATATATATACACTGTATATATACATACTGTATATATATACTGTATATATATATGAATTTGAACGGATGATGTTTTTGGCCTCTGGGGATCTCAAAACGAAAAAGTAAATCGGTCTCGGGTCTAGGTCTTACCATGAGACCTATGGTAATAGCTACTTCCCTGTAGTGAAAGCTAAAAGATTGTAAATAATAACCCCAGTTTTATGAAAGAAGAAAGACATTATCCGGTTTGAAACTTGAGCCTGCAACTTTCTCGTGAATTTTCCGAAACTGTCTTCCTTATTAACAGTTTTTCAATTAAAAGTTATAACAAACGAGTGATGAATATTTCAAGTTGATGGATGATGTAAACAGCATAAAACTGCATAGTGATGCATGTTTTCACTGTTAGAATTACCTTAGTAAAACTATATTACATTTGAAATTATTTGAGTATATATATTTGTTTAAAATGAACACAATCTATATATAATATGCCATCAACTGGCTTAGGGCTCTGTCCACATGGTTTCAAATTAATTCACAAGTAATGCTTATGAAAGTTAGTTTTGTTTATTGATTTTGATGACAACAGTTACAAAAACTACAATCTCAGCAATATTGCTCTTACTGTTTTTTTTTAAATTTTTTAAATTTTTATTTTCAAGGCAGTTTAAATTTCACCTTTAAGTTAGTTCCCATTATTTATCATCTATATCTATACTATTATATAAAAATCTAATGGTGTCTGTCTGTATGTGTATTACTAATAGGTGCAAAAACTACTCAACCAACTGGGCTTAAATTTTATAAAAATATAGCTACCACGTATAAAATCACACTGTTTTGTGTTATTTGGTTAGAATACTGGAGTGCAGCAAAAAAATTAGTGCAGCAAAAGAAAATGCGGAAATTAGCTACTTAGCGTGCTATAATCAGTGCAAGGAAGCCAATTTTGTCAGGTAACTGTAGGAAAACTATTTTATATGCTAAATATTTGCTTTTAACAATGACTATATCTACTGTATACTACTACTATATCTACTATATAATACTGTTTTTATAAATACTACACATAAATGTAATTTGTGTGTGGTAAAATTAGATATCGTCATTGTTAAAAGCAAATATTTAGCATGTAAAATAGTTTTCCTTCAGTTACCTGACAAAATTAGCTACTTAGCGTGCTATAATCAGTGCAAGGAAGCCAATTTTGTCAGGTAACTGTAGGAAATAGTTATTTGTGTAACTAGTGGTGAAAGTGGCACTTTGCTGCACACGAGAGCAATGTTTACGCACGAGCCGCAGGCAAGTGCGGAATGATCTCGAGTGCAGCAAAGGCCTTTTTCACTCGTGTTACACATTATATTTTTCCTACAGTCACTATAAAGCATATAAATAATTAGTCTTTCAAACACTATACAACACGTTTTTAGGTTCAGCTGGCAATGGCAACACAAATGGTGCCCTAGAGAAAGTAGTACCCGCGGTCCGTATCACTCCGCTATTTTTCCTCGGCAAGAAATGTGCTCCGCGTTTTGAGAATATAGTTCCGTATGTTTTTGTAATTTGAAGTGGTTTCCGCGCCTAATAAAATGCTTTAAAGGTATTTTCTTGTTTATTAAGATCGTAGGAATGTTTTAAAAACGTTTAAAAGAAAAGTCCAGAAAGTTCAGAAATACCGAAACTATAAACACGAAATGACAGGTTAAATCGTAGTTATAATAGTCAATCAGCTGCTCATAGTATTATTATCTTTAAGTGTTGCCAACCTATTTCCAAGCGTACACGGATTACGTGCATAATAGAACCACGCTGTTTCGTGTCGTTTCGTTGGAATTCTGATGTGCGGCAAAGTATAAACCGTACGGCAAAGTATAAACCGTACGGCAAAGTATAAATATGCAGCAATTAGCAGCTTTCTGTACTATAAACAGTACAAGGAAGCCAACTTTGTCGTGTGACTGTAGGAAAACTATTTTATATGCTAAATATTTGCTTTTAACAATGACTATATCTAATTTTACCACACACAAATTACATTTATGTGTAGTATTCATAAAAACAGTATTTATAAACACTTAAAACTACATTAACAAATCATCGGTTTCATACTATGGAAGGAAAGGATATCAGTAACAACAGCTGATCCTGTTAACCCTTGCTAATAACACTCTGCAAGTCCCTGCCTC